TGGTGAGTCCACTGCTGCAGCAGAATAAACATTTGGGTCGAATTGCACACGAACAACAACATTAAATATTACAGACTAAGACGAGCTCTTTCCTACCATCAACATCTCGCGAACTGAGTAAAAATGGATGTAGCTTGGTAACCAAAGGCTAAATTTTAATAGCTAATTAAGTAGAACGATCAACTGGCAGAAACTACATTTTCTTGCTGAGAACATCATGCCTGAAGAGATTGCAGAAGCATTTGATCAGTCAGCAGATTTATTGTGTAACTTCTACACTTCAAAGATACTGAAAACAAAAATATGCACCCGTATTATAATCATCGGATGGAAAACTATAACACCTAAACTTGGGTCCAAGTTCCACGGGGCTTGTTGGTTTAAAAGAAATTGACCTCCCGAGAATTTCAAAATGTGAAAGTTTTTTTAATTTTTGAATTTTATTTTATTGAGAAAGTCTAAAAGTGTATATTATCTTTTCTTAACAACTATTTTGCTCTGCTGAGTTAAAAATTCACATGATTTCAAAAAATATTACTAAAAAGTCCTAGGCAACAGAGCATAATAATTCTTGAATTCTCTTTCAAATTTCTGCTAGATAAACAGACTGTAGGCAACAATCAAGCGTTTCTAGAAGGAAAATATATAGAACAAAAGCATCTTTATTGGGAGCATGCAATCAATTAAAATAATTCAAAGATATGAGAAATAATAAATTTCTAACCTTCCCACGGACCTCAAGCACAAAGCCCAATTCTTTCACCGGGTGTCATCAATAGAAGTACCCTCTGCATTTCGCAGATCCACATAAGCACTTTTTTCTTCCACGGTCTCCTTGCTCAGGTTGAACATAGGGTATTAGTTTGCAGTCGAGAAGCATGGGAGGAATATGTCGGATTGCAAAGAAAGCAATATGGAGGTATGACTCATTAGTACTTTCACGTAAAACTGGCCTCCAGAAGACGTTTGGCGAGCAACTATGATTCATGAATCGAGCTTCATTGCCATTAATTTTTGCACTTATAACAAGGGGAAAGGGGACTTTTGTAGAACCATCAGAATCATCATGCACAGCTTCCAGCTGCTCATAGTAACGAGTAGCATCAAAAATGTAATTAATTTCCTTTTCATTCCCAATATCACCTAACGTAGATGCATCTACAGCATCACCTGCATACTCACAGATAAAACCTCCAGCACGAATGAAATCCCAAGATCTAAGTCCCCAACCTCTGTCATTTGTCTTAAAGATCTCCAAACGGACTTTCGGACCAGCCTGAGACATTCGGTTCCGGCAGTTTGGAGGACATGCGCATGTCGCTCCACACTCATATATCAAGGGTTTGTCAGTCTGAAGAATCCCGAGAGATGAATAGGGGAGATATCCCTCGTTTCTTTGAGTACAAGGGCAGCTGGCATGACCTGGTTGACATCCACCAATGCATTGACAGCCTGAAAAAGATTTAGGTGTGGAAAAAGGTTTGGAGTACTTGAGATTACGAATATATGTGAAATAAGCAGGTCCCTTTTCATCATCAATATCATTCACAAGAGTGACAGGCTGAGTCTCTGCTCCTGAAATAAAATCGGGAAGGATGACCCCAGTCCTCGGAGCAGTTCCATCCTTCCACTGCTGAATTGATTTCCACAATGTAAAAGCTTCAGGTTGCCCAGGTACTCTAACCAACTTGTACTTAAAAACATTGCATCCAGAATTGTTTTTCTCTGTCCATGACTCCTGAATTTTGTACAGGCCATCGTAAACATAGATCTTCCCATTTGAACCGGCAATATCCTTTATACCTCGGATGACTCTCACCTCATTTGCACGATGCAAGCTGTTTTCTAGAGCAAGATTTCCCCTTTCAAGTTTCTGATCAAACATTTGTCCATCTCTTCTCTGCACTCCACCCTGGCCACTGTAAATCAAGACATCCCCATCATCTCCCTGATCATCATATCCTCCAGATGAAACAATGCTTACAGCCACAGGTTCTTCATCCACAGTAATTTTCACGTTCATATAATCTATCCCAGCCATACTAGGAGTATGCAATCCGACGATGCAAAGCTCCATCCTAAAGAAGAAAATATCACCAACTTCTACCCCAGGTACATGACCAATCCTCTTTGTGTTATTTGTCCGAACCCCTTTGGTCATCAAGAGTGAAGCGGCTTTCAGGTCTGGACGTCTACTAATCCCTGGAGACATATCCTTCACTTCTTCAAGTTGGGTAAGCCTTCTCCGAAGCAAATCAAAAACCAAGAGTATGGTATCAACTGTCTCCTTGTCACCATTAGCTCTTCTAACATCATCGAAGTACTTAAGCTTAAAGGATGTTAAGAATCTATTAACTAGCGATTCAACATCAAAGATATCTCCATGCTCGTCTCTGCTCTTACCAGGGTTGTTATATCCAATCTCACCTCTGCTCTTCCTTGGACGCCCCCTTCGCTTCCTAGTATTACTGACATCCTCTGTATCAACATGCACACTAAATCCACTTACATGCTGGCCACTCTGATTCAGCGAGTCACTATAACCATCATCGTCTAAAACTACAGGTTCTGAGCCCCTCTCAGATTGCCGAGTGCCCCCATTTGATTGGGGTGTTGGTGTTCTAAATGAATTCAATGGAACGGGAGCTGGTATAGAATTACCAAAAGCACGATTCCCTAGCGGATTTGAAACACCAGATGGGTGTGGGATCCGATTATGTTGAGAATCATTGGGAATGGAAAATGGGTAAAATGGATGGATCCCAGGTGGAAAAGGACCAGTAGGTGGCACACAAACGAAGGGTGAGGGTTGAGGGGTCGAAACTGAAGACATGCCAGGAGGGTTTGGCAAAACAGGTACAAGACATCTCAATGGCCTCACATCTAAAACCCTAGATTTATCAATTGATCCCAATGAAGGATTCGAATCTGAACCTAAACCTCGATCCATTTAACCACTACACAACAGTCTTATTACAGATTCTGATCAACACCAAACCACAATTAAATTACAAAAGTTTACAGATCCCCCTACTCGATTTCGTTCTTTTTGTGTCCCACAAAGATAAAAGAACACACTTTTCTCCGATAATTTACTTTATATACAAAACTAAAATCATGTCATGCAGTTATACGAACCATAGCCGGAAGGGTTAACGTTCAAACCTTCAACAAACCCTTACACAAATCTGCTACCTGTAGCGTGCAAAAACGTATTATTAAAAAGTTTTCTGACAGGTACAATCAAACTTTGGATGAAAAACTGTAAAGCCCTAAATTTTTGTTTAGGCCCTAAAATCCAATTTTAAAAAATTAGCAAGGAATGAAGAGCAAAACGTGCAAGGATTCAATAAAAGAATCCATTTTGAATGAAATAAGAGATGAGAATTTCGCAGTAAGATCTCGATGGGTACTAAAATCTTGAAAAAAAGAAGACGACTAAAAAACAACTTACACTCCTATGGATACATAAAATGAATTGGATAAAAAGTTTTGTACTACAAATTCCGTAGCACAGATCAGAGATTCATGCTAGATAAAGCGAGGAAAGAGATCTTTAATGGAGAAAATACCTCAGAGGCTTGAATGTCCGTATCAGACAGAGAGAGAGAGAGAAGGGTTCCGGGGCTTGCTGCCATAATAA